AGCTCAGAAATGATATCATCTTTGAAAATTTTATAAAGTAAGTTAATCATGTTACCGTGGAAGTTAATATTATTTAAGATCATGAATAACAAGTACCAAGATGGTTAGAAGTATTATAAGCTAAACAAATTGAAGAAGATAATTTTGTCGAAAGTCGACAAGTTTGGTGTTACACCCTGTGCGTCCTAATGTGACGTATAATGAATATGAGACATGTTAATCATGATTTAATGAGTGTAAAGTTATAATATGACTATATATGATGTTTGGACATAAAATATAAAGTTTGGGAAAATTTGGATTTAACTTATGGAAAATCGAGTTAAGATTTTCCTTGTGACGAGACGTTTTGAGAAATTAAATTCGTACGCTTTATGGTGTCATTTTGGGACATATATCATACAAAAATGAAGGTCTTGGAACCTAATTTCCAGTGGTCCAAGCCATTTATTCATACAACATCGGGGTAGAGAAATATGGATTTTTAAACTAGGGTCACCAAGTCACGTTGCCGCACTTCGGAGAAACTAGCAGGTTTATAGGCCAAGTTGCGATGAAGTTTTCTCCCAATATTTTGAGAATTACATGGAGATATTTATATGGAATTAAATCCCTATGTTTCTAGTTTCCAACGCTGAAACCATTTCTCAATATGATATCGGAGTAGAGAGAGATACAAGTTTCAGAAGTGGCACTGCTCAAGCTGCCAAGCAGGCAGCTTACCCACCTGCTTGGAGAATTGAGGCGGTGGGCTTATAAGTTGTCTTTATCCATTAAATTTCATAAATATCCAGAGATCAATGACTGCAAAACACTCTCAAATTTTCCAAGAACTTGTACAAGGTTCCAAGAACTAAATTCAAGAGAAATCAACACAAATCTTCATCAAAGGTGTTAAAGACTACAAGAGAATACTTCTATGATGTTGTGGTGTGATTGAGGGTTATTGTGAGCTAAGTTGAGATAAGGTTTCGAGTTGTAGCTGTTGTCCAAGGTATGTATAACATCTTATTCATTGTTCCTAAGGTTAATCTTGTGTTGGTTGTGTTGTTTGAGTGAAAAAACATAAGATACACTTGAAGGAACATGGGATACGATTATCTTTTTGGTGGGACTATTTTGTGGTTAAAAATATGGTTTGTGGTGGCTGAAAATTATGAGAAATAATTTGATAATGTTTTGGCTGTTGTTGTTAAACTTCCCTAGGTTTTAATTAAGTTGACTGAAGAAGAAAAGATGAAAAACAAGTGATTGACGATAAAAATTAAGGTGCTAGACGTATGAGGCTGTTTTGGAAGGCATTTTGTGGAGGTTTTAAACTAGAAATAATATGGTAAATATAAGTATGATGCTCTGAAGGTTGTAAACTAATTTATGGGGATTCAATTTATAATTTTTTATGAGTAAAAAAAAAGAGCTTGCCGCTATATATGATTGTTAAGATAATCGAAGAAACTCATGTTGGATTATATTGTTGTTGTTACTATGCTGGTTATAGTTGTTGTTGTTAGGCTATTGATGACCCTTAGTGGTCTTTGGGGTTATTAAAAATAGGGGAGTTGCTGCCCGATTTTTCTTAAGTCGTGTGATTAGCCAAATACGACGTACGACATTATATGTTAACGACAATATCATTTCACTTGTCGTAGATGCAAAAAGTTGTGTTGAGCTTGGTTGAGTAATAAGGAAAAGATCATACAAGTATGTTAAGGCTAAGTCATTCCTTCATTTTGGCATGATCTTGTAATTATACAAGCTTGATAATGAGACATAAAGAGAAATTCATATTTCTGAATTTATGTACATTTTTCTAGTCTCATAAGTTACAGTATTCTCCCTTATCATATTCAATTGAGTATTATCTTCTTCTAGTTAAGAAAGCAGAGAGCCTATATATAAAATATTACAGTATTTTCATTACCATCGAGCTATAATCGATGGGCAGGCCCCTATTGGGAAGCCTCTGATCAGATGGTAAGTTATATACCGAGCCTACTGTGGGCGAGCACCTATGAGTGAACTCATCATGGCCGAGATACAAATCCTAGTATGGCCGAGCGCCTATGAGCGAGCCTACTATGACAGAGCAATTATATAAATACCGAGCCTTATAGGGCCGGACAACTATTTTACTTACTATATTGAGAGAGTTGAGTCATCAGCATGTAAGCATATCTTTAGATTATGTTTGATTCTCAGATACTTTTAGTTATTATATTATCAGTTCAGTTTCAGCTTTCAGTTATTATGTTGTCTTACATACTCGGTACATTATTTCGTACTAACGTCCCTTTTGCTGGGGACGCTGCATTTCATGCCTGCAGGTCCTGTTAGACAGCTGGATAAATCTTCCCAGTAGACAGAGTTGAATATCAGCTTGGTTGGTACGCTCCACTTTCTCGGAGTTACTAGGTCTATACCTTGGAGACTATTTTATATATACAGGTTTGATGGGTAGGTCAAGGCCATGTCCCGATCATGATACAGTTTAGTTATCTCTGGAGGCTTGTAGACGAGTCCTGTATATTNATATATATATATGCGCTTTTGGGTATGTTTACCCCTCAGATGAGAGAGATGATAGTTTAAACTGATTCAGAATATGGCCTCATCAGCCTAAGTTAAAGGTTACCCCTCGAGAGTTCACAGTTACAGAGTGGTACGCTCTGGCCGAGTATGGCATCGGGTGCTCGTCGCGGCCCATCGGTTTGGGTCGTGACAAAAGTGGTATCAGAGCAGTTCTGTCCTAGGAAGTCTACAAGCCATGTCTAATAGAGTCTTGTTTTATGGGTGTGTTGTGCACCACACTTATAATAAGCAGGAGGCTACAACGCATTTAGAACTGTCACTCTTACTTCTTACTCTAGATCGTGTGGTAAAGCTCAATTGTAAGAACTCAATTTCCTATACCCTATCTTATTCATAATACAATGATGCCTACATTTCGAAAGATGGTTGGTAATGGATTGCACGTAGTTATGGAAGAGTTGAGTAAGAGTAACTTGATTCTGCAGGATGCTTATAATGCGTAAATATAAGGTCTTCAGCAGACACTACAAGATATCGCCACTAAACATTTTTAGTAGCGACCTTAAAGGGTGCTGCAAGTAACTACGTTACTGAATGTTTATTGTGATGACTTCTTGGGGTCGCTACAAAAACAACTCATTTGTGGCAACTATACTCGCCACTAAAGTCAGGCATGTACATCACAAAAAAGGTTCCACAATATAAATTTAAAGTGAGCCGCTGCTGAAGAATGCCTTACAGTAGCGATTATAGTCGCCACTAAAACCCTTATATCTTCAGTGGCAACTCTTATCCCCACAATATCCTAATGTTTAGTGGCAATCTTGGTAGCCACAATTACTAATCGTTTTTGTGACGTTTGGTCGCCACTAATACATGTTTTTTCAACAATATTTTCCAAAATCTTATTGTTTCAGTGGCGCCCTAATTTATAAAATTAATATACATGTATTTTTCTACCATTTGACAATCAATATTAAAAGCATCCAATATTATTCAACAAATACCAAAAAAAATTCTCAAATTGAATTTTATAGATACTTCCATTACCAAAATGTCAATTAATTTGTACTACACAATAATTCATCATTCGTTGTCAATGTATCTTTATACATATGATAACAAAAATAAAAACTAAGATTTATGGCCTTCAAATTCNGGGGGAATAAGAGATCAATTTGACAATTCTCATAATTTTATTCTAATAAAAAAAATGGTAGCCACAATTGATTGGAGTGAAAATTAAAATTCTACAAATAAGTTTTCCAAGAGAACTAAGCTCAGAAATTTGAAACTATCAAACTGCCCAAGTGCTTCGAAGTGGAACATCTAGACAACCAAACTCAAATACCACAAGCATGAGAATTTAAAGAGAACTCAATCCAGGTTCTTGTATAAAAGCTTCAAGAGTTAATCAACTTATTTAATTATGCACAAAATTTGTAAACTACTAAATATGATCATAAAAAAAGTGCTAATCAAAATCTACAACACAAATAGAAAGAATGAACTTTATAACTGGTTCGAAACAGAGCCAAGACTTTCCACCAAAATTGAGAAAAGAAAGAGAAATAAACAAATAAATAACGGGGCCCATACTATCTGGAAGTTGATTTTAAGATTGAACAATAAACTTTATTCTAGAAAATCTTAGCTCAATTCAGCAAAAACCCAAATAATGTATGAAAAGTAAATAAACACAACTGATCCCAACTCTGGTACTACACAAATAAATTAGCGGGTACTACAATTATCAGTTGGTATAACACACACATCTTTTTAGCTTTTGCCAAAGTAAATAAACACAACTGATCCCAACTCTATCAAGATCAAAAAGAATGAAAATAAAAAAGAAAATACATAAGTGGTTGTGCTAGTAATACTAACATAAAATCGGAATGAGGGACGAATACCCCAAGAGCACTATAAATAGAGAGCTTTCCAATCGGAATACCAATTCCTGAAACTATTTTGGAACTTCCGGACAATTAGTTTCATGGCAGTGCTAGTAATACTAACATAAAATCGGAATGAAGGACGAATACCCCCAAGAGCACTATAGAAAGAGAGCTTTCCAACCGGAATATTAATTCCTGAAACTATTTTGGAACTTTCGGCCAACTATGTTTCGTTCAATTAGTTTCATCCAGTTGTTCAAATAGCACACTATTAGGCAATAAATCTAATAGTTAGTATAATTTAAAAGATTTATCTGACAGCCAAGATTACCAAGTCCTAATATTCCCTCTCTATCAGTAACACTAATGACTTAGATACAAAGTTCATGCACATGGAATAATTGATGAGAAGCTTGTAAGATGAAAGTAGTTCTTCAATATTATTGATGAGAAGCGTATAAAATAACCTTTTTCCTTTCCTGAGCATTGGAATAATACGTTATCAGCAGAATTTTAGCAACATAGACATAAAATCACCCATTGGTCCAGTGACAGAGTAGACTCATCATGAAATAACTTTGAATAGTCAAATAGTGTTTAATGAGATTGTATTCCCGTAGACTTACTGTCAAATGATTTTAAGTGTACAATGACCAAAATAGGAGCTTAAAGCATTTGTTCTAGAGAGCACAAAAGGGGGAAAATATGATAAAATAAAAAGGAGAACGAGAAAACTAAACATATGTTGGACCATATGATGAAGCAGTACATAATACAAAAGCGAGAGGCGGGTCAGTCGTGCATTGACAAAATGCATTTCCAAATAAAAGGAATGCTTCATATCACGCAGGTCAGATAAATACACCAAAGGAAGTTAGCACCTCTAACTCTTTTGATGTTTTGATGAGTGAACCGGTCATGGATGATACTGGAAAGAGAGTGCAACAGCTTGAATGTGCGGCAACATCAAAAACCAGTCAGTCATTCAAAGACACCAGACATTACAAAAGAGAAGCAGAAATCAGAAGCTACAGGTGATCTGTTGAGATATCAACCAGCTGCTGAAATTGCTGGTTCTAAATCTACAGCTGGGAAATAGATTTCTCAGGTTTTAGAGTGGGAAAAGCAGGCTGCTAACGGCCCTGGTGTTAAGTGTGTTCAAGTTAGGATTACAGATAATCCTGTAGTTGCTGGGCACATTAAAACTAGACAGGAGCAGGTAGTAACAGAAGGGAAAGAGGAAAAGGCTGGGCAGGTGTTTGCCAATGTAGGCAGAACTAGTGAATTACATCAGAAGTAGGTGCACAATCTACTACACATTATAATGTGAATGCTAATGATGTTTTGATGGTTGAGGATTAGTTAATACGTGCCAACATTGAGAAGGATTCAAAAAATAAGAAAGGGAAGCTTATGGTAATTGAGGATGAGTGCTAAGTATCCAGGAACTCTATTGCACCTGCTACTGTTAATCTTACTGCAATTTGTGCTAAAATTCTGGAAAGCATGAATCCTTTGCAAGTTCTTCTTGGGTGTTTGCCTAATCCAATGGAAGGACTGTCTCTTCAAGAGGTGAAGGAAAACAATGACATGGTAGGGGTTGGTTTGAATACATCCCAACATGATATCCCCTCTAATGATTTGTTTGATTGATCTGGCAACATGTTACAAGTCTCAAACAACCAACAAACTTTATCCATGATGTTGTCTACAACAAAACAGCCAAAAGGAGGGGCTGAGCACACAAGAGAACAACATAAAGACACGATGAGTGAAGACAAGTTAAGTGGTAAACCTGTCCAGAATTTAAATGAGCTATAGGAGCCAGGAGGTAGAAGGTAGAAGGCCGTGTGATAGCATCTCTCTCCACCACAGTGAAGGCAAGTCCTTTGTTGTACTGTGAATCCCAGAACAAGCTATATCCATATAACTCTGTAAAGATGACAGCCAAGAAGGACTAATTATCGTATAGTTGACAACTTTACATAAGATATATTAATTATTTTCAAAACCAAACATCCATTAATTAATAAATCTAGTCGAAGAAATCAGTAATAACTAAATAGTTTCTTCCGGAGCAAGAAACTAACTTAATAGAAATTAATCTAAAGAAAAAGAAGATAATAACACTATTTCCAACTACACATTAGATCCCACTATTTTAGTTTACAGATAACTAAGAATTGCACGATTAAACATGGAGCACTATAATATTGTTTTGGATTATAGTAGGAAAAGTTAACACAAGCAATGTTAAGCAAAAGCTAGACAATTGAAGAATTAGCCAACAAATAGTTTGGATTACCTAGCAACAGTAAAGGTCCTTTGGGAGATAAGCTAATCTTCAGTATTTCTATCTTCTAAAAACATAACCTCGACACCTCCAACACCACATTTATCCTTCATGGCAAGAACAAAATTACCAAATTGATATATTCTCTCAATCAATTCCTCCTCTTTCCGCCAATACAAGTACCCCCAATGCCTTTCTCTACTAACAAAACAACATGCAACAACAAAACAACAATAACCCACAAATAAAAAACAAATAAATACCCAAAAACTATGAAAGTTCATACTTCTGCTACCAAGAAAAGAACCCAACTTTTATAATAACACAAAATTGCTACTCGATTTTGCTAGAGAAAGAGATAGCGAGAGACTAGATGCCGTCAAGACCGCGGACTATTACTGTATGAATTTCTTACCACGGACTATTACTGTATGAATTTCTTTTCACTCCTATAGATTTTTATCTGGGCCAGAGAAATTTTAGATGAAATCTGTAAAATTATTGAAATTATCATTTTCGCTAACTGTTTATACCACTGAAAAGGGATTTGAGCATGAGATTGGAACACGTACCTGATGTAATCAAGATTTCTGATTAGGGCTTTTGTTTTGCTATCAGATTGGTCACAATTTGTGATTTGAGCAGTTAAAATTGAGAGATTCGAACAGAGAGGAAATTGAGTGGGAAATTTTTTTATAGAGAGACGAGTAAGGAGAAGAAGACTTACATCAGTCTGTGCTTCTTTTTTCATTTAATAAGAGTGGTTTTTCTTATAAAGATGCTTAGTAGTGTTAGAGGCAACTTAGTCGCCACAAAAGACCTTCAGCGGCGACTTTATAAAAGTTGCTACAAAACTCTCAAGCCAAAATTTCAGTCTTAGTGGGAAAGAAAAAATCAGTATTTAGCTAAACGTATTAGGAGCGACCTTTGAAAAGTCGCCACTAAAAGCTTACCTTCTGTAGCGATAATTATAGTCGCCACTAAAAGTCTAGCTTTTGTTGCAATAAATCAAGTCGTCGCTAAATATTGCCACAATAAGTCTGATTTCTTGTAGTGAGTTCATGTGTGTACTAAGACATGTAAGCTTCTTGTTGAGGAACCCTAAGCATGAATATTTATCCACCCATATGGTGAAAAGCAATGAGAGTATAAGAAGGTACTTATTTCAACAAGTAAAGATGAACATTATCTACAATTCAGGAAGAGAGATATAAGCATTTTGAGTTACTTTGAACAGTAACAGATGTATGTATAATTGGCCACATCGATCTTAGTTATGCCTTATGGGAGCTAACATATATGGTTTAAGATAAGGACGGGATATTAGGACCCGGCTGGGATTAGAGTAACCAAAAATGATGGATGGATTATTTGCATTAGTTGACATTTCCAAAGGATATTGCAAATATGCTAATAGATCTCCTTGTGAGACACCCGGATGGTGCACTCTAGAATAGTACAACTATATATGAGTACTACAAAGAAAGACACTGGAAGCCTTGAAAGTTCATCGATGATGTGAGAAGACGCCAAAGATGAAGAGGTAAAATATCTATAGGTAGATCGTCGTACTGCTAAATCTTAGTACTCCCCTAAAGGGGGAATATTGAATGATGTGGCATTAAGTCAGAATTAAGTGGTTTTAGTAATTTTGGAATGGTGAAGGAAGAATGCGATAAAAAATGAGAAAAGGGATGAGATTACACTTATCCAAATCCTACTGATATGCTATGATTCTAGAACATTATGCAAACGCGACGTCAAGGAGAGGAAGTAAGGGTTTCTGCCCAGGCTGTTATTAATAAATAAAGGGCCAGTACGAGAGGTAAGTTAAGATAAAGGAAATAATCCAAGAAAGATTACGCAGAATATTGATATGATAATGGACCAACGAGTAGTTAGCAACAGATTCAGGAAGAGCCTAGTTATGGCTAAACAAAGGGATACAGAGAAATCAATAGATCGTGCAAGATAAACATAGTAAATCCCAATATGGGGAATTCAGTATCGCAGATATGACATCGTAATCTTGAAAAATATTAAGATAGGAGTTGGGTAGTTAAAGGTACCACATGAGTGTTATGGAGATAAAAAAGAGTGTCACTGGGAAGACAATCAAAATATCATCTTAGAAGCTACTCTACGAGCAAAAGAGCATGAAGGTAAGTAAGTAAGGATAATTACAAGTAAGAAAGAACATCAAAAATTCCACCGGGTAAATGATGTAATAAGCTCGCATCCTTGCAAGAATCAGAGGGTCCTCCCTAAGTACTACAATAAAAGACTAGCTAAGAAAATAAGGAAGAAGGATTCAACCTAATCATAGTAACCTAAAGAGGAAATGGTTTTGTAACAACAATCTCACTACAACATTGCATGCACTCTATAAAAAAGTAGGATTCGAGATCATGTGAGTTGTACGGAAATTCTGTCATGCGTGGGAACTAAGAAAAACTAAGTATGCACGATACAATAGGGCAGAAAGACTAGGAAAAGCAATAGCCTACGTTTAAAGAAAGCTGAGAAGAAACGAAAGGAATTATTCGAACAATAATCCAGAATTAGTTATGATATGAACGCACTTAAGATTTCAGAGTATTATCCATGCAGCATATATGTTGACAATCATACAGCCTAGAAGACTCCGGTATAAGTTAAGAGAAAAGAAAAGTATTGAGTCCAGATCATAGACAAAGGATTGAATTGTTAGATGATGGTGTCACGAGTATTCCACAACGTCCATAAAAGGCTAAAGTAATAACTACTACCATGGGCCGCATACCGGAAGACGACTTAAGCCTACATAAAGGCTGATCAGAAGAATGAGAAAACTAAAGAGTTACATCAACCAAGTAAATTAGGAGTCTGATTATTGGACTCCGAAAATTATAGAAATCGCAATTGAGGGCTTTGCAGGATAATCCTTAATATCAAAGGTACAAGAGAGATAGTACGACAACCATATTATATAATGGCTCTACAAAAAAGCAGTTAGAAGAGTACCAGCCTCATAAGAAGTTAGTATGAAGCTCCCACTGGATTGTGTATACACCAGAGGTGTAAGTATTACAATAGAACTTCAAGTTCTGGATGTAAATCATACCTATGTAGAAAGAAAGTTATGAAAGAGATAGAAGACGTGATGCGATATTTTAATGCAAGTAAGGTAAAGGTGAACAACGTATGAGACACTTAAGTGCAGAAGGTTGTGGATAGTCTTTACTTCAGATAGAAAGCTAGAAGCTTTGGGATTTAGTATCCAGGAAAGATAGCGGTGGCATGCCTTCTAGCCTATGGGTTCTAGGTATCGGGAAGCCTGATTAAGAGAGTAAATAAGAGTTAGAGATGATTTGATGTCTCGCTTGATAATCCAGAATAACACAAGGAAATCTATGGTGCAAGCACGTTGAAGGAAGGTTGCAAGTAGTATAAATAGACATGTATAGGTTGCAGGAAAAAGTATGGTGAAGCAACAGGTTTTAGGAAGATATGAGTAAGGACATGAAAGGGCGAGTAAGAAGGTGATGAGAAATGGATGTCCTCGGAATTAAACCCAGGAAAAAAAAGAGCTGATGGTTTCTGTAAGTTATAGACAGCTTAGTATAGCCTTAAAGAACTCAAAGGAGTCTAAGACTAGTAGCATTTAGAAGAGATAGAATGTTGCCCTGGTAATGAGGATGTAATTGTGATAAATAATGGATGACGTTTGGGCTTTTGATTGAGCAATTATTTGAAAAAGGGGGATTTCATGAATTGTACAGTATTGACACATCCACGTAGGGTGAATCACATTGGGATGCTATGAAAAATGGTTATGGAAATTACTCCAGATGTTCCTCGATGCAACATGGGCCATAGTGATTACTTAAGAAGTTTTAAATTATCAGTGGTAAATTGTAGATCAATATTGAGGTGAATCAAAAATAAATGGACAAAAGTTATAAAGTATAAGATGAGATTAGGTCATCGTTCTTAAGATGAACAATAATGAGGAAGCATTAAAGGACTTAGCTTTATGCATATAGGATAAGCAACGAGAATAACCTAGAGTTTGGTGGCAGGCCTCAGTAATTATAGTATGACCAACCTAGATGCGGTAAAGTCGTATGGATGGATAACCAGGTCCAGGAAGTAAAGTATAGCAACATTCGTAAGTTCATCAAAGTACCGAAGAACTTCAGTATACCTATAGATGCCTAGAGGGACATCTTGTCAAGCTCTGTATATGTTTACAAGGTGAGGCCTAGAGATTGGGTAAAAACTTGAGGAAAACGCTGGAGGGAATAGTCGAATAGGCGCACATACAAGGAAAAAGGTGGTACAGGTTGCATGATGAAAGATTTCAACTACAAGTCATGGTGTGAGAAAGAAACCTAAAAGAGGGATGCCCTAGCCTTTACATTTGTTCACAAAGTAGTTGGCTAGATAGAAAGGACAATATTTAAATATTCTTAAGAGCAAGGGGTTATGAGACTGATAAGCGCATCAGTCAACATTCGAGGAAGAATGTTCCAAAGGGGGGAATGATGTTACACCCCCATGTTTTCGTACTTAAGAGTACGTCGTAAGTCAATTGATGTAAGCTCAGAAATGAAATCATCTTTGAAAATTTTATAAAGTAAGTTAATCATGTTACCGTGGAAGTTAATAATATTTAATATCATGAATAATAAGTACCAAGATGGTTGGAAGGCTTAGAAGCTAAACGAATTAAAGAAGATAAGTTTTGTCGAAAGTCGACAAGTTTGGTGTTACACCCTGTGCGTCCTAAGGTGACGTATAATGAATATGAGACTTGTTAATCATGATTTAATGAGTGTAAAGTCATAATATGACTATATATGATGTTTGGACATAAATATAAAGTTTGGGAAAAATTGTATTTAACTTACGAAAAATCGAGTTAAGATTTGCCTTGTGACGAGCAGTTTTGAGAAATTAAATTCGTACGCCTTATGGTGTCATTTTGGGACATATATCATACCAAAATGAATGTTTTGGAACCTAATTTCTATCGGTCCAAACCATTTATTCATACAACATCGTGGTAGAGAAATATGGATTTTAAACTAGGGTCACCAAGTCACGTTGCCGCATTTTGGAGAAACTGGTAGGTTTATAGGCCAAGTTGCGATGAAGTTTTCTTCCAATATTTTGATAGTTACATGGAGATATTTATATGGAATTAAAGCCTTATGTTTCTAGTTTCCAACGATGTAAACCATTTGTCAACATGATATCGGAGTAGAGATATACAAGTTTCAGAAGTGACACTGTCACACCTCCTTTTTACCTACATCCGCAAGGGCATAATGGAGTTTTTCCAATTAAAGGACAATCGAAACGGGATTTATTATTAAAGATTTAGAGTCGCCACTTGGGAGATTTATGGTGTCCCAAGTCACCGGTTAAATCTCGAATCGAGGAAAAGATTGACTTTGTATTACAGTCCGCGAACCAGAAATCTGAGTAAGGAATTCTGTTAACCCGGGAGAAGGTGTTAGGCATTCCCGAGTTCCGTGGTTCTAGCACAGTCACCCAATTGTTATATTTGGCTTAAATTATCTGGTTTTAACAATTATGAACCTATGTGAAAATTTTAACCTTAACCGCTTTTATTCATTTTTAAAGAAAATTGCAACGTCATTAAAACAAGTCTTGAACCACATCACATAAATGCACCCGTGGTTTTTGGACATACTTTAACATCGTTGGTATTTGGATTTGGGTCACATAAAAGCGCACCAGAGTTTAGGGAGGTA